TGATGCAGTGCGCAATATTAACAAGAGTGGTCCAGATCTCCTGGTTGGAGTTGACGTGTGACAATACCGACTCAAGTATAGCTGTAGATGTTGTTGTAGCTTTTTGCCATAAGGTCGGTGCTCGACCCTCTCGTTGCCACACGTACTTCTCTTCAATCGGTTGTGCCAGACTGGTAAAAGCGAAAGACAGTGCATCAGTCGTGTACATCTCTTTCAGCTCAACATGTTTGACGAAGATGTCTTGCAGCAGCGTCATTGAGGCTTTTGAGAGTGCGACAAAGGTTGGCCCGCGCTTTTCCGGGAACTTAGCCAAGGAGGTGTACGGCAGCGTAATGAACCGGCCCAACATACGGATCAGATACGGTGGAATGTCGTTATCTTCTTCCGTTTTGACCATCCTTAAGCATTCCATCACTCGATTCTGGAGAGTGGTCATGGTGTCCAGATCCGAAGAGTAAGCGACTTCGTCCGAGTTGACAACGCAAGCTTCGAGGTTCGCGAGCATCAAAGGCAGATCCTTGTTAAGGAGCCGATCAGAGAGGCGGTATATTGCTTTGAAAGCCTCTGCATACGCGACAAAAGCGTCTTGGTTGTCCTCTTCGTGTACCTCTTGCCAAGCGTCTGAAGACGAAAAGTAACTCCTCCATACCGCAGCAGTCTTGAAAAGGGGATCGGTACTCCATACCTGAGCAGTTTCGGTGTGGGAGAGAACACCAGTCATTGTGGCGAACACCGAAGCCCCTAGCGCATGCGAGTGGTATTCGAAGTAGCGGTTCAGGAGTTCCAGTAGCTCTGACCATGCGTCACCAAGCTGAGACGTATCCAACTTTTCCATGTAGGTAGTATTGAGAACGGTCAGGGTCTGAAGAACCACCTTTGTAGTCTCATCCCATTCCTTGTGGTCGTCTTTGCGTGAAGTTTGTATCCGAACATCATTCTGGATGTTCAAGTTGGCCTCCACCATACCGAACAGAATTGTACGAAGGCAAAGCAACCAAACATCCGATGACAACTGATCAGAACAGTTCTCGAAGATTCTCTGTATAGTTTGGATCGCAGAGTGCCGCACCTCGATGCGTTCATCCGTTGTGATGAATGAGAGATTTAGCAGAACTTGAAGCCACAATGCCGCAGTCTTTCCTTCTCGTGAACGTGTGCTTACGACATCTTCGACGTCGTTTTTGCCACTAGTCTGAGTAACAACCTCCACCAATGAGGAGAGATCGGTCCGTGACTGTAAGTAGTCTGACACATTCCAAAAGAAGGTGATCGCCTATAACAAATTAGATGCTTATTACGCATTTGAAAAAGATCACTCACGGTAAGAGACATGTTCAAATCCTCCCTTTGGGAGCAGAACCTGCGCAGGAGCTCTAACAGCGTTGAGAGGCAAGCATCAGGAACAGCAGTCATAAAATCCGAGCAGACGAGATTGGCTGTCGCAAAAGCCGATCGAGCTAGAGATCTTGATATGACATCTGTAGTGGAACTTGTGGCTTGGCTGTTTCCAGAGGTCTCGGCGTCTTTCGGGTTTCCCTCCGCTGATGGCAGTTTTTGTGTGAAAACGCTCATCAAGCTCTCAATGACAGAGGTCCAGCCAGCAACTAAGGACTCGCCGCATTGCTCAATCACGCTCTTGAGTGCTTCTAGAGCTATTTGATGTACCCGTATATCAGTGTCGCTGATCGTGTCTTTGTTGACCCCATCGTAATGATGGAGGTCGGTAATCTGCTTTTGCAGTGCAGCAAGTATGCGAGCCTGTATTTCTTCGCGTTGGTCGTCGGACATGGAGAGCTCAGCAATCTCCCGAACTGTCCTTGCTAAGATGTCGGCTGCCAGCAGCCTTGTAGGCGTCGCTTTTCGACTGTCAGTGGAGTAGCGTATAATCTCTCGAATCAGGATGTCCCATCCACTATTAGCGGGATCATATTGCGACAACCTGCTTTCGTTCAACGACGCCAGCTCTCCAATCTTGTTCAACGCAAATGCCGAGTCGCGAGAGTTAGCATCTGTATTGAGACCGATTCCCGATGCGCTACCGAGACGCCGATGTGAAACCTGAGGACGGCCGGAGGTAATTGGTGTTCCTTGTCCGCTCTCTGATGATGATACCCCGTTTAGCAGTGAGCAAAGCGCTTGTAATACCTCGGAAAAGGACTCATTAGGATAGTCAACTGTACTTTCAAAGAGCCTGCGCGCAGCACTCTGGACAGCTGAGGTCTCTGCCTCTAATTTCTCTGTATTGGTATCCATGTCCGCACGGCTTCCAGATCCAGAAGCGCGACTGCTGTTCTGGCTCGACAACGCCATCACCAGATCGGCTACTTGCAACGTCTCAAAAACGATAGACCATGCTGACTGTAGCGTTGGTCCTAGTGCAATTGCAAGATTGAGTAGAGCTCGCAGACACAGTAAGTTGCGAGGGCCCAGCGTGGGGGCTGTAACATCGTGCGAAGGACGCCTGTTCTTGTCGGTGGACATTGAGGAAGCTTGGCTCACAAAGCTGTCCACGCTGAGCATCCCTCTCGCATTAGAGAAGATCCCAGACTTCTCATTAGTAGGAGACGAAGTGTTGGCTAGCAGCAAGTTCGAGGGGACAGCTGCTTTACCCATGGTAGTGAGGAATGCATCTCGTGGCGTTGAGAGTCTGAGCAGTCCGGCAACCTGAGTAAACTTTTGTATGGCTCGGATCAGAGCCCTGTAATAGTCCGTATCAAGCGTAGCATTAAGGAATGTTGAGCAGGTTGCAAGGACTGCAGGCCAGCATTCCGTGACCAGGTTGGTCGAGGTTTGCACGTATGAGTAGGCCGGATGATCGGTCAGATCCAGAGGATTGACTGGTATAGTCTTTTTGCGGAAAGAATGAGTCCTCGAAAGCTTCCGAGTGTTACGATCTGGCGATGCGACATCCGTGTCGTCTTCATTCATTTCCTCGGCTTTGGTTTTCTTCCGGCTTCTGCTCTCATGATGTACAGTAAGAGGAAGAACGAATTTTGCGAGACTCTCAGAAATGTTGGTGATACATGTCAACACCAGACTGTAGATGTACGTTTCGGGTAATGCAGGTGGGTCGGTTTTGTCGAGGTGTTCGATGCACGGAGTTTTGAGAGAACTCCATTGCATACTGATGCCAGATGGACGAACATGGTTGCTAGTATCGCTCACAGAACCACCTATGACGCCAGCTAATGCGCCCGCTTCAGCGACAGCTTGATCCGATACCTCTTCTTCAAAACCAGCGGCAGCTGTTGACTGCTGACCTAAGCCAATCGCCGATGGCTTTTCAGTCGCAAGGCGCACGAAAGCCGCTAGGTTATCTCCAAATATGTTCTTCTTTCCGCTTTCTGCATCAAATAGGGCATAGATTGCTAGGAGAAGTCTGGAATCGGCGTAAATGCTGCGGAACACCTCGAGACAAAGAACTCTCTTCCATGCCTGAGAGGCCTCAGGATCGAGCATATGGTTCAAAAGACCGAGCGCAATCTCGCATTCGGAGGGAAGCGTGTCAAGATGATATCGAATGATCAGATGTAGTATCCGAATGATGCGTACAGTCACCGCAAAGGACAAACGATCGGATAGAGAGCGGATGATCAGCGGCATTAACTGGGTTCGCATAATGTAAATCTGTTCCGGATGCGTCGTCATAATTTTGTTGTGGTTCGACAAGATTGCTTCGATCAGCTCCAGCGTCGAGGCTGGCGGCAGCGAAGCAAATCGCATGAAGACTGGCTTCTCTCCAACGATGAGTGCGATGAGATCGGTAAACATCTAGACTTGTCAGTAAAGCTATTGGCATTTAAGGAAATGACGGACCTTGTAGGCATCGTTCGCTGCTGGTCTGACTGAGACTTGGCCATCATCACCTTTCACCTCGGTCACTGTGGGGATCTCTAAGGCTTTCTCTTTGCATTTGGTCAGCCTACAACACATATGTTCTTTGACTCAGCATCATACCATCTTCGGACGCAACTCTGTCGAATACGACAATCACCAGCTGTTGCAACGTGGCTGCAGCCGTGTTGCTGACAGCAAAGTTCTTCGCATTTTGGAGACTTGAACATATTTGCAGAACAGCGGATAATGACTCGCTGCGTATTTCCGCGGGATAGTTCTGAAGCAGTGAAGGTAGCGCCTGCAGTATCTTCAACTGGATATCATGGCCTGGCAGCGTTAGCTACGTCTGAAGCATCCTGCTCGGTCCTTTTACTTGATGGTACAGATTGCTTGAACGCTTCAAGCACTTCTGTTAGCCGTTCCCGTGGCAATGCTCGCGAAACGCTGAGTCTTTGGAGACATGAAATTCCAGTAGATGCAAACTTGGCATTTTGGGTTCCGCAAGCAATCAAGAAGGGCGAGATGAAATGTGGTCGTCGCGAGAGATCTTGATTCCGTCAACACGTGCAGATCAAGTGACAGTAGGCATCTCACCAGCCGAGAGTTGGGCTTCTGAAGTATTGGAAAGCGACTTCAAGTCCTTCAAGGCCGTCTCTGCAGCATTGCGTAGCTCGGTATTCTTGCGTTTTGCATCCTGTATGAGGTTGCCTAGTTCAGCCGCCAAGATTTGAGCTGTCATTCTTTTGGTACGAGCCGGAGCATCTGGACGGTGCTTTCAGGCAAAGGAGTGACTTGAGAGTTGGGTATCGGTTGTTGTTCTGTCGAATCGCTAAAGGCAACGTTGTCGCGTCTGGGGCGACGGGCCAAGCGATTCACGCGTGCCAGGTGAGACCCTGGTCCACGGGTGCCTCGTCATAGCCATCGACGCTAGCGGGCCCGACGGACATGTTTAGACAAACATCCATCCTGCTGCCACCCATAACTTTACAATTGCGCTTGAGTCGAGTATACCGCCAGCAACTTACACTCTAGCTACACTAGCTACAAAGCTCACTCAAAACTGTCCACAACCGTCAACAGCTACCACTATCGCATAGCGGGGTCCATCCCACTTCCTCACGCGCCACACTTCTGTTCAGCCTTCACACATAACTACCGCTACTATGGGCGCTAAGGTTCCGCGCAACTTCCGCCTGCTGGAAGAGCTCGAGAAGGGCGAGAAGGGTCTCGGTGCCGGTATGGTAGATCTGTGGTATAGCCGTGGGTAACAGGGTGCTGAGAGTTTACAGAGGCCTGTTCATACGGTCTTGACAATGGCGACGACCTGCTGATGTCCGACTGGAACGGTACCATTCTCGGTCCACCACACGTATGCGCTCCTTTCTCCGCGTCACAATCTGCATACTGACCCCGTCGCAGAGCGTCCACGAGAACCGCATTTACAGCGTATCGATCCACTGCGGCCCTGACTACCCCGACACTCCTCCGGAGATCAAGTTCACAACCAAGATCAACCTACCCTGCGTCAACCCTCAGAATGGAAAGGTGCGATAGTCGGAGGCATAGATACTTGACGGATACTGACGATACCAGGTCGATGGGTCCAAGTTGCCATGTCTGGCTCAGTGGAAGCGCGATTTCACCATGGAGACCATATTGATAGAGCTTCGAAGGTTAGCACAATCATGGGATGACAAGGCACAGTACTAATTGGTTCCAGGTATATGGCGCTGCCTCAGAACAAGAAGCTTCCACAGCCACCTGAAGGCGCGATGTTCTAGAAGAACGCGCACAGCCTGCTCCAGAAAAGAACTAAGGATCAGGGATGATATGGGCATAAGATATGATGCACGAAGGAAATGAATGCGCATGGAACGGAGTTATGGTCTGCTAGCGTAGCCATACAGCCTGACAAGAGATCAGGATTATCAACAACTTATATTACTTCATTTTGCTCCTGTCTCGTTCTTTGCGGAGTCTCTGAGGAAGTTCTTACAGCAGAATATTGAAGTCAGTTACCAGCGTGGCGAATATCGAGTACCTGCATACGCGCAATGTCGTACTTTGGAAAGAGGTGGTGCGCACGTGATATCTAACATCCCAGCCCAAATCCTTCGCGTTGCGGCGCAGGCCTCGGACCTCCACCACCGAGCCATCTCATGCATGCCCCGATTCCTCCAGCCTAAACGGTCGACACAACACCGCGTAGCAGGTTAGACACTGAGCCTTTTGGTAACTACCAATAAACTCTAACATCGTTTCTAGCAATCGCTCTTTATCGAGCCTTGCTGTCGCGATGTTCCTCCGCTCCGCTCTCAGATGACGACCAAGTCTCTTTGTTCAACGCCATTCGCAACAAGTTCCGGCGGAACAGAAAGATACAGAGCCCTTACCAATTGGGCATCAGCTTCAAAGCTGGTTATGAGGTAGGTCTATGTTACTGCAGCTTTGTATATATCAATTGACAATGTATAGACACTCGACCATCTCGATGCCTCCGCTACTGGCAATACAGCCAGCGCAAGCACTTTGACGCAACTGATCTCTCAATTACCCTGCGGTCTAACACGCGCACCTCCCATAAGACGATACGAAAAGACGACGCTGCCAGACCCTCCCAAAGAACGGCTTGCGTGCCTTCCACCCGAGAGAGCCGTCCTCAACGTGCGACCCTACGCAAAAACCTCTGGACCCCGCCGCGTCCCTATCCTCGCCTCCGCAAACGGCGTACCCTTCTTGCGCCTCACGAAGCCGCAACCCCCAGCACTAAGTCGCGTTATCCAACAGCGACTACGGCGCAAGAACGAGCTCTTCGACACGAGGGTCCTTCTGGAAAACTGGTGGCTGCCCATATGTCAGCAGGAGGACGTGTGGGACGTACTCATAACCGCGCAATCGAAGGAGCGCGAAGATACTGTGAAATGGCAAACTGCGGTTCGTGATTCATTGAGGGAGAATCAGGAAGCACACCAGGCGGACATCAGGAAGGATATAGTGATGACGAAGAAGATGCAGAAGATAGTGGATATGGAGACTGAGCTTGCGCTCAAGGAGGGACAGACTGTTGTGAGGGGAAGGAAAAGGCATCCTTTACGCGTCATCAAGCCGGAACCATGAGCACAATATACTGTCTTATGGTTTGTTCTATCTGCGCTTTGCAAGATGGGTATATGTTCGACCTGAAATGCCATGCCAATGCACTGTAGTCACTATGAAGCCGCGTCAATCTTCAACTTCCCTACATCCACTCCGTCTACACCATCGTCATCGTCCTCATCATCATCCACCTTGCCGACCAAGCCCCGCTGCCACAGCTCCTTACCCGTCAACTTCTTCTCTTCCTTGACAATCCTCTTCTTCTTATCCTCCAGCTCCTTCTCCTCTTCCTTCCGCCTCTTCTCATCCTCCATCTCCTTCCTAAACCTGTCTCGCCATGCGAGGAACGTCTCTCGTGTGACCGCCTCACCCTGGAACTTCTTGTTCTCTTCCTCCTCGGCTTTGGCCTTGGCGATGTCGACGAGGGCTTGCTTCGCGTTTTGGCGCTCCGTTATGAGCAGCTCGGCGCTGTCTTTGAGGACGGTTACGAGGGTGAAGACCATGGCCATGCCGAGGTTTTCTTCTATCGTCTCCGTGAGCGAGTCTAGCAGGCGTTGCTTGTCTTCTTGTATGTCGAGGTATTGGTGTCGTGGCGCGTTGGGCGGTTGTGTTACGTCGAGTCGGGGGGCTTCGTCGGGGTAGTTGGGCGGGTAGGAGACATTGAGGATGATGACAGCTGGTGGACATGAGTTTAAGTCTGTCTGTAGAGATAATGCAAGCGCATACGTTGCTCTTCTTCTGTTTCAACGTCTTCGTGGCGGCCATCGTCGAGCGTGATTGCGATTCGGAACTCTGTCTCGGAAACATCTGCGGAGTGTCAGTATATAGTAAGAAGATGTTGCGCAGGAAAGCGCCACCTGTGATCTCGTCGGGAAAGATAGACTCGAGCACCTCGCGCTCTTCTTTCTGGTCTTCGATACCCATGGTGTGAAGTAGTATGGAAATCAGTACAGTGATGGCATCTGCAAGTGACGCTGAGGCTGCTCTGGCGGGGCGCGCCTTCCCCACGTTAGCTCCGTCCGACCGCCGATCTCTAGAAATTTTTGGGTATCTTGGACCGCTACATCATACATCCACAACACGACACAAATCTCACATCATGGCGAAAACGAAACCTACCGATCGCAAGGCGAAGAAGAGCGCAAAGAGCGGTGCAGTAAAAGAATCGAAGAAACCGAAGGCGTCACCGGAAGAACTTTTGATTCAAGCCGCTACCTTCTTACAAACGTCACAACCCGAAGAAGCGCTGGTCGCCGCACGAAGAGCCCTCAACCTACTCCAGCCCGGCACATCGAAACCCTCCGCTGCAGCACTACCTGCACTGAACCTTCTCGGCGAGATCAACGTCGAACTGGGCGACCCAGACTCTGCGCGCGAAGCCTTCCAAGCAGCAATTGTAATCGACCCAGAAGGCGCGAACGATGGCGCTGAGAAGTTCCTATGGCTAGCACAATTAAACGAGGAGGGAGGCGCGGAGAGTGTGCGGTGGTTCGAGAAGGGCATTGAAGTGCTGAAAAGGGAGATTAGTGAGCTGGAAGGCAAACGGGTGAAGAAGGACGAAGTCGAGGAGCTGCTCGAGGAGAAGAGGCAAAAGATAGCGAACTCGCTCTGTGGTATTGCTGAAGTCTACATGACGGATCTGTCTTGGGAAGAAGACGCCGAGGCGCGATGCAACGCTGCCGTCACCGAAGCACTACTTTTCGCACCCGAAAATCCAGAACCACTACAAACACTCGCATCGATACGCATCTCGCAACTCAAGCCCGACGAAGCCAAATCCGCACTGACACGGAGTATGGATCTATGGAAAGATCTCGACCCAGACAATCCCAAGGTCCCAGACTATTCGACTCGTATCAGTCTTTCTCGCCTGCTCATGGAAGCTGAGATGGAAGACGAGGCTATCGAAGTATTGGAGCGGTTAGTGGGCGAGAACGACGGCAGTGTCGATGCTTGGTATCTGGGCGGTTGGTGCCTGCACTTGCTCGCGGGAAAGCAAAAGACCGAAGGAGAGGAGAAGGTTGCAACATCACTACTGCGTGCCAGTCGCGATTGGCTGGAGAACTGCCTCAAGCTCTACAACATGCTGGAGTGGGAGGACGAGCGGCTGAAGGAGCACGCTGATGAGATATTGAAGGAGCTCAACGACGTACTCGGTCCCTCTACCGGCGAGGAAGATGAGGACTGGGAAGACGCCGACGAGGAGATGGACGATGATGACGATGACGACAATGAGAAGATGGACGGCACGTGAATGTGATAGTATAACTTTACAGGCCGGCTTGGCCGTGTTGAGGCCGCCGATGGTCAGCGATACGCGGCTCCGCTGTGAATGGGACCGAGATTGGGGATATTGGGCAGCACGGGCAGCATGGGCAGCAATGTTGGGATGTTACGATCGAAGTAGTACAGGCCGCGCATAGTACAAGCTGGATGTAGTGTAGATTTATTTGATACCCAGGGTGCGTGGACGGATAGCAGACGCGCGACCTGAGGCAGGCAGTTGGCAGCACCAGCGTGGGACGGGGCCCCTGCATGTGGGATGCCGCCGCGAACCTATGTAGGATGGGCACTAGGATGCTGTCAGCGGTGCCGTGACAGCTCCTGAATAGACGAAGCCACACGCCAATCATTCCCCGCTTTGCGAGCTACTGAGGTCGCGTCCCGCTTCGAGGTGCGAACGCGAAGCAGCGGCGCATCGGCGACGTGAACAGGACGTGTGTGTAGGACGAGTCGTCGCATGCGGAGCGAGTGCGCCAGTCGGTTGCAGGGCAGGCAGCCCATTGGCGCGCTGCGCTGAGGGTGTAACACCAAGGTGCGGTGGATGGGATGAGACATGGCCTGCGCTTGGCAGCTCTGTCGACGTCGCCGGCGCCGCCAACGCCACGAATAATCAATCATGCTCGTCGAGACCAAGACCGCCCTGGGGAGTTGCCGCAAAGTCAAAGTGACGCTGCGCCATCGCCCTCGCCCGCCGACGTGGTGCCTTTAGATCCCAACCCACAAAAGTCAACGCGCCCTCGCCGGCCGTCCCTCGCGCCTGCTCCGACAGATGCTCAGCAAGCCCCACACCCGTACACATCGCATTCGACGGAGAGTGCGTCGCAAACCCTCGGCCGCCCGGGCATGCCATGATCTGGTATCTTCTCTATCCGCTGCGTGGGTGAGTCGCTGCTGCCCCATCCCACGCGTCCGCCTCTAAACGCTGCTCTAGTACCACTGAACCACCACGGCTCGACACCTCGCACCCCATCCGCCGCGCGTTCCAGGCCCACGGCACGGCCACGGCCCGGCATTGGCTGCTCTCCATTGTCCTGACCATCACCGTCTCCGTCCTGCTCTGCTACCAGGCCGTCTTCCAGGCCGACAGCTCCGCCGCCGCTGCCCTCCGCAATCTCCCCAAGCATGTCTGGACATCGACCACCGAGGTCGAGGGCGAGCGCCCCGCCGATGTCGTCGTGCGCCAGGTCTGGGTCCACGGCGACTACATGAATGCAATTGCCCTGCCGGTGCTGCGCGAAGCGATGCATGTCCAGGAAGTGCTCATCAACGGCGGTTTTGACACGCGAGAGAGCGCTGCGTACGACGACCAGCACATGCTCCAGCGCGATGCCCCGGGCTGCCTCGTCGCACCCGCCGGAGAGAAGTGGGGCTGGCACTCGCCGTTGATGTACTGGGACTGCTCGCTGAGCGCGCTGGAGAAAGACGACAATCTCCTCGATACCATCAACGCCCATAATCGCATCCGCTCGGCACTCAATGTCACCCTGCGCCCGAGCACCGTCTTTGCTGGCAAGTCCTTCTCGGCCACCAAACTTCGCGCCGCGGATGCGTTGGTTATCACGCTGTTCGACCAGACCAACTCGAGCTTGGGAGATACTTGGGACTCACGGTCGCGCCTTCTGGCTGATAAGCTGGACCCAGACTGGACCATCTTCCCGCCCGACGGCCAGGTCGGGCGGAGTCGACTCTACGAGTTTCGGTTCAAGCCGATGACTCTGAACGATGACCTGTTCTTAGCAGCGTCCTACCTGGTGACCGCAGTTTATGTTATATGGAGGATGATGCAGCTGCGAGCAGTCAAGAGTTGGTTTGGGCTGCTTGTAACCATATGTGCCAAGGTAGGCTCACTACCACATGCTACTACTCCCACTGCTAACCACCGGGCAGATGTCCATCTGCGTCATCGCCAGTTTCACACTTTGTACCTATCTTGGAATTGATTTAGCGCGAATACCCCGCCCATGGTTTCCTGGAGTTGTCTTTTGTTTTGGATTGGGAAATATGTGCGTACACTGTTGCTTCGCCCCAACCTGGCTGACACAACTAGATTTCGTTTGATTAATGTCGTCCTCGAGACACCCCCGGAGATGCCCCCTCACCAGCGGATCGGAAATGCGCTCGGTGAAGTCGGACATCTATCTCTTGCCATTGCCTTCCAAAATCTGGCCCTTTTGTACTTTTGTTCCCGGCTCGTTTCACCCTGGGTAGCCGACTTTTGCGTCTTCGCTGCCGTCACCCTCGTATTCGACCTTGTTTTCCACTTGACCTTCTTTGTTGCTGTTCTCAGCGTCGACGTGCAAAGAATGGAACTTTCAGACTCACTGGACCGCGCCGATCTTCATCAAAACAACAACAAGAAAGGAACGGAGCGGCAGTCTTGGCTTGGAGCGTTGTTAGAAGGTACCCTGCCACTCAGCACGCGCTTTGCTGGCACAGTCGCGATCTGTTCTATCATCCTTGCTATCAACTGGCACTTTTTCGACAACGACGGCAAGCAATTATCCATCGATACGCTTCGCCGAAATCTCACAATGAGGAGACGGAGACGTACCCCTGACAGCACATGGAGCCCACCACCGATCAATCAGGCTAGGACACCCGCTGATTGGCTTAGGATTCAAGATCACAATACTGCCCGGGAACTATTTGGATTCATCAAGCCGGGTGCTTCAAGCTTCATAGCCCGTATTTACGACCCCATCCTCGTGGTTGCGAAAGGGGCATACGGGCGCGACCGACCTCAGCCGCCGCTGTCTTTCACCGATGGAGTCCGCCGCTTTGCGCAAGCACATGCGTTTCCGGTAGCCTTGCTCGTCGTTACGTTTATCGCGACTGTAACATTATTTATGAACTATCTTCTCTGGACTGGACTTCCGAAAACTTCTGAAGACACAGAAGATGACGAAGTCACATTGTCTATCAAGACATTGCCGACGCCGCAGAACCTTGACGTTGTGCAATTGGCTTCTTGCTCGAGAGGCCATCTTGCAAGCATATCTCTTGACCGGAGCACTGCACTGTGGCTACATGGCCGCGGAGGGTATCTGCACACAACGCTGCAGACAGCAACGATGAAGCCAAAGCTCTGGCCCATATATGCTACGGCTATGGACGATGGTGGTAACATCCTTGCGATCTGTGCAGACACTGGTCAGATCGGCTTATGGGATATCCCAGCATCACGATTCCTTCTGTTTCCCAAGATCGACATTCGTGGACAAGCGCCCGTTCTCTTTACCTTTGCCTATCTCAAAACACGTTTAGATGTCGAAAAGCTCTACCTTATCATCATCACTCCAGACGGACACCTGACTAGGCTCGAAGCACGCACAGGCATCCACTATACCAGGCGCATATCGAGTAGTCCGATCGTCTGTACCACAACGTACACCTCACTCAAGGGCGACACTAGCGTTGTGTTTGTAACGAAGCCTGGCGAAGTGCACATCCTGCCGCTTATGGAGGAGGGCAATACGATGTCCGAAGTAGTCGCCGGGCTCGACCCCGGGCCACCTCCAGGCAGCAATCCCGCGAAGATTCGATGTATAGAGGCTGTTCCTAGTCTGGGCCTCATCTTTGCACTCCGCGACGAGGAGGCTGAAATATTCGACTTCACGAGCCGAGCGCTCGTACACTCTTTCCAGATCGGCCACGTCAAGCCGCACTCTTTCAGGGTCTTGTATCCTATGCGACGGACATGTCAATGTGGAGCTCCAACAGTGAACTCGCTTGCTGTCGCATACACAGAGCAAGACACAGACCACATGATCATGCAGAGTTTCTCCCTTGACGACAACACGTCGTCACAAATATGTCTCGGAAAAGCGCTGGACAGGGAGAAGCACGGATGCCGTGGGCTCGACCATGCAAAAGAGGCCGTACATTACGTCGAGCCTGTCGGAGTGTGGGAGGCGACGGATGCGCTCAGTGTCGTGGGGATCAGGAGATGTTTACAATCGCCTACGCCATCATCCACGACTTCAGGCACTGATGAATCTAGTCACAGCGTGGATCCAGTGGCGCTCGCGTCTGCGCTCAAGCAGCGAGCTCAAAACCAAGGCAGTCCGAAGGCCACCAAATCCTTAGGGGGAGTCTTTGCCAAGGGCAGTCGAAGAGGTTTCGTTGGCGACACTGACACATGGGAGGCCTGGACGCTCTCAAGCACAGGCGAGTTTCGCTCACGACCACTCGTTCCGGATGACCTGGACGGCACCACAGAGGTCCCTTATGAAGACGAACTCTTCGTAACAGCTCCTGGGCCAATGACTAGACTAGGGAAGCGTAGCGTGGTCGTCGGCTTTGGTAACACTGTGAAGGTCATCACATTGGGCAAAGAGTCGTTCGATGGCTTGACAAACCTCCAGAGTAACGCCATGGATATTGGCCTTGGGTCGTACAAGTGGAGGGCCCGCAGAGGCACTGGCAGGAAAGTACAGTGAGAATTTGCATATGTTCGGCGCAACGGTACAGGTGGGCTCGGGCTCTGGGTGGTGGGTGTGATCTACGTGCAACTTCAGCTCTGGTGTTAGACTACGGATATACCCTATGCGCAGTAAGCGCGGCGTTTTCAGTGAGGCTCTTTCGGCCTTGGCCTCAGTGAGGAGATTAGCAATGTACTATATGATTGTTCGCAGCGACTGGAGGCTTCACTTGAACGTCATGGAGCCAGCGTGTACATCAACCTGTGGCAATGCTCCTTCAAGCAGGTGGTTTGCCGACACCCAATCGGCGGCATGGAGCGCACCTATAGCGAGAGTCGAAGCCCCGCAGCGACGTCGATGTGCATAGACAACCACAAGTCGCACATACCGAGCCGGCTATCCGCCTAGGCAGACGGCAGTGGTGAGCAGGCTGCATCGCCGTGTGTAACAACGAGGGACAGGATCAAGCTTGGGTTGGACCGCGCGTTGGGTGCATTGCATTGATGGCCACAGGCCGAGGGACGTCATGTGGCGTGTGGCTGAGGCGAGCAGTCTTGCAAGGGCAGGGTCCTCAGACGGTGTGGTTTTGCGGGGCTAGAACAGGGGAAGAGCCCTTGAGAAAAGGGCCCACGCGACCCCCGTGGGTAGGCGATCGAATCGCGGCACATGCTCAGTCCAACCCTCCCTCCATACAAGACATCCCGACCGCCCAGAGCCGCACGTATCTTCCTTTTTCTTTTGCGCGCAGCCATTGCTATCCCCAATTGGTACGTCATGGCCCCCTCCGACTGCGGGTGTGGTTGTTCAGAATCTACCCTTTCACATGCGCCGAAGCCACCATCCATGTCCTCTCGACTCTCCCACCGCCCAGCCAACACCACACTGCACTATGAGACTAACCATGGCATAGTTCAAACATCATTATGAGTAAAGCACAATCACCGTACGACTCACTCCGGAACATACCGCAGTACTACGACAACTCGGACTCGGAGAAGTCGGCCCTCAACCTCATACTTGCGCTGCGGCCAGAATGGGAGGAAACCAAGGACACAATTGAGTTTGTGCGGTTCACCGATGGCATCACGAACACGGTATGCATATGCTCGCAGCCATGCACTGGCCACGGCCCCCTTTCTCCACGCATGGCTAAGACGACGGATAGCTTCTGAAAGCGGTGAACAACCTGCCCGGCCTGTCCAAGACCGAGGTCGACGACGACGCGATCCTGCTGCGAGCATACGGAAAGGGAACAGACGTCCTCATAGACCGCGAGAGTACGTGACCATGCACCGCCGCCACGACCGAGACTAAACAAGAAAACTAGAGGAAACCCGCTCCCACTCGCTGCTCGCACGCCACAATCTCGCACCCTCTCTGTACGCGCGGTTTGAAAATGGTCTCCTATACAAGTACATTCCAGGCGACGTATGCACGCCTGAAGATTTGCGACGGCCAGACGTATGGCGAGGAGTAGCACAGAGGCTGGGAGAATGGCATGCCACATTACCTATATCGAGCATTAGCAGCACATGTCCCGCGCCCGCACAACTCACATCTCACAACAACAAGCGTGCGTCTCTAGCCGCCATGGCGACCCTCACGCCAGGCAAGCCCATCCCGAATGTGTGGACAACAATGCAGAAATGGATCCTCGCGCTGCCGACCGACACAACGGCGCAGGCCGAGCGGCGCGATGAGCTCATGCAGGAACTCGAAAGCTTAGTAGCGTTATTGGGTGACACGCCCGGTGTAGGCGGCTCGAATCCGTTTGTCTTCGCCCATTGCGACCTCCTCTCCGGCAACGTGATTCTCGAGCCTACGCCGTCCTCTGCCTCTGCCTCGCGCCGATCTAGTGCGTCGAGCGGGTCCGACTCGCCCGACACCGCAGCTGCATGCGTGTCGTTTATCGACTACGAGTACGCGACTCCTGCTCCTGCTTCCTTTGACATTGCAAACCACTTCGCCGAATGGGGCGGTTTCGACTGCGATTACAACGCTATGCCCACACGCACCACTCGCCGCGCTTTTCTCCGCGAATACCTCCGCAGCTTCAACGCGCACCAGAATAAAAGTTACAAGGAGGAGGAGCTCGAGATGCTGTTTGAGCAGGTCGATCGCTTCCGTGGCGTTCCGGGGTTTTATTGGGGCATCTGGGCGTTGATCCAAGCGCAGATTTCGCTCATCGAGTTCGACTATGCGAGTTACGCTGAGATACGGTTGGGCGAATACTTTGCGTGGAAGAAGACGCTTGATGGGGGTGTGGAAACGGAGAATGAGCGTATGGTGCTGAGGGAGAAGATTTGGGCGTCAGAAGAGTAGGAGATGGTATGACGTTGCCGGCATGGGTATGCCTAGGAGTTTGGAAGAGTGGAGAAAGCTGGTTCGGCTGAACATTCAACATGCGATTTCCTTATTGTTCCATAGGGGCGGGCGCCTTTTTTCTTGTTCGCTATCAGCTAGAGCACTCACCTTGTTCGCCGTTTTCTTTTTAGCACGCTTAGTACGTTTAATACCAACTTAGAGCACGTTCGTTATGGGACTGTTACCAAATCAAGATCCTGGAGCATACATCGACGTTAGGTCACCCACTTTGCATGTTTTTATCTTAATGAAGTCTCCAGATCTGTTCAGTGGTTCTTCTTTTTGAGGTGGCTGCAAAGCCCTGATCTCCTGATTCTAGACAGCACTCGAATGCTTTCATCTACTTGAGACCTGGTAGCACATCGTTGAGGATTAAAGAAGCAGATCAACAGCTAGACAAGATGTTGCCTTCCGTGCGTCCGGGGTGCAGGTCACTTGGAAAGCCCTTGTGCTCGACTTCTCCGCTTCCTGTAGTGTCCTGTGCATGAGACCTCCCGACTGCTCTCAGGCCCATCTCAGATCATCCTCTCACCACGACTCTCAAGCCGACATATGGAATCCTGCCCCGTAATCTTCTCCTCTCATTTTCGCCTGACATGGGCGCTGGGTTTATGGATGTAGAAGCGTATCTTGGATATTCAATCATAATCTCACACTAGGCACGTTAGCACAATCCCTTCTCTCTCATTTCACAATCTGCAGACATACCATCAAGATAATCCGCTGCAATCAGTAGCTCCAGACACAGCTCGGGCGGGATGTCCATATCCGACACGTCTTTGCTTTCCGCGTGCTTTTGGTTGTAGTAAAGGTACTCGCAGACCTTTTCTAGCACCACACCACTAAGCATCTCCATTAGCCTCTTCTCTCATGATGTATCGTCTAGCTGAGATACGGCGGCCCGATAGGGAATGGGAGGCATGGTTGGAGTAGACGTACTTGATCGTAGGCAAGTCGACGCGGTTCTGTGCGTTTTCCCGAAAGCCGGCTATTGATGCGTTAGTCGGGCTGTGTAACATCCATGTAGTAGAGAGCGACTCACAAAGCGGATCCAGTGCTTTCTTGATCGTGCCTGCTATGCATGCTGCTGAGCGGAGGATCTTGAACTCGAAGCCGTCGTTCGAGACCAGGGTGACGTATTCGGTGGGCTTGTCGTCTGCCATTGTGATGCGCGGTATGAAATATAAGTCTGATAGCTTCTGAGTGTGGTCTGAACGCGGGATCGTTGGATATAGCGGCGTCGAGTGGGAAGTTGTGTGAGAGACGGTGGATATCGCGGGGAAGTTGCGGAGGACAGCGCGCGCTGTCACGTTTTCTCGCGTGGGCGAACGTCGAGATGGGGAGTGGATGGCTTACATCACCCATCTACAATAGACTATACCGTCTTAATTTCTTGTAAAGCAAAGCCATCACGAGGGACCAATTTGACAGAAGATTAAACCCCAGAAACAATTCCCTTCCCACGGACGAATTGACCGCATTCCAAAACACAAAGTACGCCCATCCTATCACCATGGCGCACCGCCCACGACACGTCCTCATCACAGGCGGCAGCCGAGGCATCGGCCTCGCAATCGCACAACTCTTCTCCAAAAACACATACCGCTGCACCCTAATCTCACGCTCAGAGCCTGACCTAAAAGCCGCCATAGCAAGCCTAACACCCCTCCCATCCACCTCATCACCAGAAACACCTTCAAATCCCGAGACACATGACCCTGCAGAACCACCATCATACCAACACGGCTACATCGCAGGCGACATATCGCTAGGTTCCAATTTCTGGCACCTACACCCCTCGCGCCCTTTCATCGCTCATCTACCCAAGCCAGAGCGCACGGCGTTCTCGACACATCCTTCGCGCATCGATGTGGTTGTGAATTGTGCGGGTGTCACGCAGGCGAAGCTCTTCTCGGGATTGAACGAAGAGGACCTGGAAAGTATCATTCGGACGAATCTTACTTCTATGATGCTGGGGACCAAGTTTTTGATACGGTATGTACACCCAAACGTGTTTTACTCTTGTTATGTGAGGCTTTGTTTTATGTGCGATCTGTTGACTTGTTTACGTCTGGAATAGGAATGGGTATCTGAGAGGTAGGAGTCAAGCTGAAGATGAAGATCCTGTCATTATCAATGTCAGTTCGCTGCTGGGATTGCAAGGCGGCTACGGAGCCGTTGCGTATGCGGCGTCGAAAGCGGGTGTTTTGGGGTTTACTCGCGCTTTGGCTACAGAGTATGCGAGTCACAAGGTGCGGGTTAATGCCATTGTACCTGGATACGTGGAAACAGACATGACAAAAGGTACGCATGCCACAGTGTTGTTTGTTAAGGCGTGCTCTAACCACGGCCAGACCTGAATGCCACTGAGCTTCAGCAACGCATCCCGTTGAATCGTTTCGGAAAACCCTCTGAGATCGCCCACGCAGCATTGTTCCTTGCAGAAAACCGATATGCACATAATTGTGTGTTGAACTTGGATGGCGGCTTATCTGCCGTCTGATTCCATTAACTTTACTACGCTGGTTGGTATTTTTCCCATTCAACTGCCATTCCGGCCTTGCAAGACGGCCCAGTGGCGTTCTCCAGATGTGCTTCCTTCCACCAGATGATCCAGGCTCAGGTATGTTACCAGTGAGTCCTCCCAAAAGACGCCCATGCCAAACGTTTCCATGCGACTGATTGGTGTATAGTACAAGAGAAAGGAAATCTATATGCCGTTTGCGCTTCGGTAGCGCGCGGTTTGTTGGACTGGTGATCGAGGTGCGGAGATGTGGTGGGATGAGTGGAATGTCAAAGACGCTTGAACGCTGATGATCCAATGGCGGGACGAGAAGAGTGAAGTATATCGAATACTCCAATGATCGTCTGTAGATAGCCAAAACAATCATGAGGTCCAAGGTGAGGACGATGCGCCAAGATGCGGGCAGCAACCCAACTTTTGTAGAAGGTTTATTCAGTCGTCATCAATGACGATCGCTCCGTCCTTGTCGTCCTCAATGGTTATGTGGCCGTCGTCTTTCTTCTGCGACTCCTCCATGACCTTGCCCTTCTTTCGGACGAGGTCGTCCTCCAGGCCCGCTTGGCTGGCTGTGCGCTTCGCAGTACCGTTCGTGCTTCCATTGGTGACACCATTGGTAGTGGCGCCGTTGACAGTCGCATGACCATTGGTCTCTGGCGCAGGTGCCTTGGGTTTGGTCGGAATCTTGTTCTCATCGGGTAACCTGAGCGGATTCGCGTTCTCGGTGAACTCTGTGTGTATAATGCAGAGCACTAAATCAACCTTTGCGTCTTCTTCCGAGTCGTCAGAAACCGTGAGGAAGGTGTCGTTCTTCAAGTTGAGTTCCTCAAATGTCTTGTCGAGATGAATGTCTTCGTCCATGTCATAGAGTATATCCGAATCGCGCTTGACGCTGAACTCTTCTCCGTAGCCCAGCTTCTCCTTCAGGACCATGTTGATCAGATCGCTTAGCGTCGCGCGCGGTGTATCGACGTGCAGGGTGGCATAGCATACACCACAGGTCGCACAGTGGGGATTCGGTGGTCGAAGTGATTCGCTCGAAATGACGCGCTCGGTGCTGCGGGTGAGGAAGACCATCTTGGCTTTGTCGAGCTGATCGCGCATAACCTTGAAGGCTTGTAAGACGCAGAGACTGGCCGTCATGGCGTTTGTTGTCGCAATGGCGGGAATGATGTTGCCAGCCATTTCTGTGATCTGTTAGCAGCTAATCCAGCCATGTGTGGGCGCTTTCTTACGCTTGATGTCAAACTTGGACCGCATCTCGATGCCGAAGATGTGCGAGCGCAGATTGGCACTTGCAACGACAAAGTCCAGCGTATCCACATCGTCCTTGTCGAAGCTGAGGATAGGTGCCGCATTGCCAACGTCGGCATTTGCGCGCGTCTCTTCCAGGCGGGTGCTGAGTCGCTTGATACTGTCGACGAAGACGGCGAAGTTCTCGGCTACATTCCATGTGACTTGGTCTTGCTGCGCGATTCCTGTGCTCACACCCAGCGACTCTTGCATAAGCGCGTCGTAGTCCAACGCCTCTGGCGCCCGTTTGGTCTTCCACATGTCTTCCATGCTCCGTAACCGCTCAATGTCCTCTTTGAACACCTTGTCGAATACCAGTCGTGGGAAGTCTTGGGAACCCATGGAATCGCGAATGCGCTTCAGCGCTTGTGCCTCCTTCTGCAGGTTCGCGACTTCGCTTGCGTTGTCGGCATCTTCGCTGTGATCGAGTTCGGGCGCTTCGTCTTCCGAGGTGCCAAAGATTTCGGCGAACAGATACGACTTGCCCCATACTATGCAGTGGATGGGTTGCGAGGGTGTGCTTCGGATGGTGCATACGGGGAAGGACTTGGGCGCGGCTTTTGGCGTGCAGTCGTAACATTCGGTTTCGCCCTATGGTACAGTTAGCACAATCATTCAATAAGTTAGTCGCACTGGGGCCGCGCACCCGCTTGATAACCTGGACCTGTCCATTGAAGCCGGTCGTGCCACTCTCGATCAACGGCACATTGGCGGCAAGGCACATCCTGTTGACATGTCGCCGCGCATCGAGGTTGTCCAGCGCATTGAAGACGAGGCCGAAGCTCTGGAACCACGCGACGTTGAACTGGCCATCCTTGATGTTGTCGTGGTACGCAACGATGCTGACGTCGGGATTGAACTTGCCGGCCGACTCTTTCGCAACCTATAAGCTGTCAGCGCAAGGCCCTTGACTTGTTTGTAGGTGATATCGTGCCGTACCAGTGCCTTGGACTTCTTGATGTGCTCATTGCGGAACAGGAACTGGCGGTTGAGGTTGCTGAGATCGATGGTGTCGAGGTCGACGATGTGGATCTCGCCGAAGCCGGTGAGGACGAGGTTCTTGAGGAGTTCGCAGCCAATGCCGCCAGCTCCTACCATCAAGACGCGTGACTAAAGCGCATTAGCGACTGCCGTATGCCATGTTTGCGCGTGGTCGCAGCTACCTCTTTGATGCGCTGATGGAGCGTGCCGCCGAGGCTTTGTCGAGCAAACTTGTCGCGTGCCATTGCGGGATCGGGGGTGGGAGTAGGCGCGAGCGAGGTTGTGGTGCGGGCGAGGCTACGACATGCGAAAGTTGGCGAGGTGCCCGTCTCAGGTGAAGGCGACAGGTGAGAGACGTCAGTGCAGCTGGTAGCGCCGCTCCACTGGGCCTACGCCGCTCGCGTTCAGCCTCCGAAGCTTGGCACCTAAACGAGCGCCCTATGAGTGGATCGTGGGCCTCTGGACTGCCGGGACACACTCTGGCTGCTGCTCGCTACGACAAAAAACTTGCTTGGGAGCCTGGTGGAGCTTACTAACGACATATACGAGCCGCCGCAGAAGTCCCATTCATCACGACTACCGGAACCGGAGCTAGCGCACACCGTCATCCATCATCATGTCCGACGACGAAGTTGACCATGAGCTGCTAGACCTCATGCGGAAGCACTGGGGTGGTGGTGCCAAAGAGGAAGGTCCGCCAGAAACAAAAGTTCTGGAAAATGCCCAGTTCATCTGCGATAACAGCATGGACGTTGCCCTCGACATGCGCTCTACCAAGGTCGCTGCCCAACTTGTTCTTGACGAGATGGAGAAGCGCGAGTATTCCACCAAAACATGGTCAGAGCATGAGCTGCACCCCAAAGCAAAAGACGAGAGCACTGTCAACTTCATCTTCACGATGGATCTACTCAACTTCAGCTTCTGGAGCGAGAAGAGCGACGAGGAACGCTTCGCAGTAGTCTACAAGGGAAAGAGATGGACTGGCTACTGGAGTCTGGTTGCCATTCTACAAAGAGCGTTGGAGCAAGACATACCCATCACTAGTCCGGAATTCTGGGTCGACGAAGAATTGTGTTCGGATGAAGTACTGCGAACCGTATTCTCTTCTGGTACCGACGAGGAGATCCCCATGTTCGAGCAAAGGATGCGATGTCTAAGAGAAGCAGGCCAAATTCTAGAGGAGGTGTGTTTGTGATGAACCACCAACACAGAAGAGCAAGTTGACTTATGACTGACGTTGCAGGAATTTGACGGTAGTGTGATCACACTCATTGAAGACGCGAACAACTCCGCTGCCGGCCTTGTGAATCTACTCGCCGAAAAGTTCAACTGTTTCAGAGATGAAGGCAGATTCGAGAACAAGAAGGT